CTCCCCCTCCACCGTCTCCCGCCCTCCTCCCTCTCCCCCCTCCTCCCTCCCCCTGCCCCCCCCTCCATCCATCTTGAATCCAGGAAGGACCTTGACGTCGTGAGGGAGAGCAGACCCTGGAGCAGATGGCTGGTCCTGCTCCTAGACAGGGTGCCCGTGTGCGTGAGCCAGCGGGAGGAGGGTCTTGCTGTGAACGTCCCTTCCGTCTCTCAGCACCTCCCTGCCACAGGCCGGTCCCACATGGACGTCTGTCATCCCTCCTCTGACAGGTGATCAGCTCCTCTTTCAGTCTGCGGACAGCAAACAATGGTGCTCTCCCGAGGGTTTACTGCCCACTTAGGATAATTGGTCCTTTCCTGGCCTCTGGGAAGGGGGCCAAGGGCTGTGCCTGCGCTGTGGCCCTCAGCCACCCATTTGCCCCCGTTCCCTCTATTCTGTCCTTGGACTTTCCCGTCTAACCTGATGCGCTCGCAGCCAGGGGCTGGGGACCCGCCCGTCCCTCCCTTGCCGAGGCAGGCAGGCAGGCTGGTGACCGCGGGTGTCCCCGGAGCCTCAAGTCTCTGCGCGCTTACGTCACTCGCAGCACCGGCCGCAGGCGGGTGGCGGAGGCCTGCACAGTCCGGCTGCCCGTCGGGGACGGCTGCCCCTCCTGCCTTCCGTGGCTCCTGTCCCCCGGGTGGATGACCACAGCTGAGGCCTTCGGAGCCCGTCTTGATGGAAAGGGCCTCTGCGTTCTCTCTGACCACCCCTGCTCGGGCCTCCGCGACTCAGCGTCCTTGGAGCGCAGAGGGCGCAGCCAGGAGAGCTGTGGTCCCCACCCAGAGGCTTCCTCGCACCCACCTGCCCCTCTCCTACCCTCGGGGACCCCTCGGGTCTGCGGGCCGCGGAGCCTAACTTATGCAGGGCCCCGGGATCCCAGGCGGGGCCCGGAGACACCCGGGCTCTGCTGGTGCCTGCGGTCTGCGCCATCCGGGCGCCTCCTGGGCCTGGGCGCGGCCGCTGCTCACCTGGTCGGCGGGGTCAGGACCCTGCCCGCGGGCTGCCCTCTGTCCCGGCGCAGAAAGGACCCGCCCCTCGGAGCCCCTGCGGGAGCCCCTGCCGCGCGACTCCAGGCTGGTCGTCGCACTTTCCCTTGGCACCTTCCCGGGGTTTTAGATTTTTTGACCATTTTGGAAAGAGGCTGAGAGTTTTGAACCGCAGTAAACGCGCCACGTTGCTGTCCCCAGGTGATTGTCATGACCTGCCCTGTTTTGGATCGCTCAGCATAAAGGCTGCGTTGGGTGGCACGTTGCCTACAATCTGCTCTTAAATCTGAGGTGAAGAATGAGTTAGGAAACGTCTGATTACTTCATCACGCCTGGCAGTATCCAGGTCAAGTGTGGACAGGTTGAGCCTCACGGTGCACTGTCACCGCATAACCTGCCTTTATTTCTCCTTTATATCGTGATTAGGACTGCACAGAGACGTAGATTTAATGGGGTTTAAATCGCAGGCCCAGTGCACTAAGCTTATCTCTGCATCTCATTTTAGAAAGTGCAGAGAGTGTCCCCGAGACACGTGATAGACAGGTGCGGGGGGGGGGGGGGGGGGGGGGAGGGGGCGCGTGGCGCCCACCAAGGGGGGTGTAATCGGAGGACTGATGGCGTCGAGGGAGAAATGGGAGCCCTCGTGTGCTGGTGGGAAGGCGAAAGGCGCGGCCACTTTGGAGAGGGCCGGCCTGTTGGTCGAAGTCACGACCCACCCGAGGGAATCGCAAGCGGGTGTAGAAACAGGGCGCGCAGGTCACGGCCACCGAAAGGTGCAGATGGAGGCCTCCGGCGCCTGCGCACCTGCAGCCGTCCCCGAGGACGTCCCACCGCGTGCAGAACCGAGCTCGGATACACCTCAGTGCTGGGGGACCCGGAGCACTTGTCCAGACAGAGCAGCGCTCGCACCGGCCACAGCTGTGGCTCCAGGCACATGAGAGGTCCCCAACAGGCAGAGCCACAGGCAGGAAAGTGGACTTCTGGCTGCCGGCGCTGGGGACTGACCGCTGAGGGTGCGCGAGTTTCTCCGTGCAGAGGCGGAAATGCCCTACAACTGACCGTGCGTGGTCATGATGGACAGCTCTGGGAACACGCTGACCTGTGAGCGGGCATCGTGGGCGTGAGAACTACAGCTCACAAGGCTGTTCTAACGTCCTCACTTCACTGGGTACAGAAACACAGGCCAGAGCTGGATTCAGTATATGGGCCCGGGCCAGAGTTTGTTTCTGTGCTCTTCAGACCAGGGAGTTTTGAGGAGATTTTTCAGGGATCACATGGGAAGGGTGCCCCTGAGAAGCAGATTCACCGGGAAACAGCTTGAACATCCCCCCTGTCTTGTCCTCTGTTAGGTGATGCCTGGAGCTGCAGCAGCCATTCTGGGAGCAGGAGGGGACCAGGCCAGAACAAGGGCCCACACTGGCTGCAGTAAGGAGCAAGATGGACCAGTCCTGAGCCTCAGGCTGTTGTCAGGAGCCGGATGGACCCACCGGCCTTCAGACCTTACGGCTGTCCAGACAGCCACATAAGCCCCGTGTGCAGTCAGGTGCAGGCCAGAGGGGTGATACTGCCAGGGGTGTGGGAGTAGTGCGTCTGCGTGTGTGTGCACGTGGGTCTGCACACACGTTTCTGCATGTGCATCGCCTTTGCACCATGTGCACATGCTTCTGAGTGTGCACACATGTTGACTGAGGTGCATGCGTGTCACACAGCTATACTGTGTGTGCAGATCTCCTCTCCAGCGCCCTGTGCGGCACACACCGGCTCCGCACAGAGGGTGGACCCTAGTGCTTTCCAACGTAGACAAGGCAAAGCCCAGTTGTGCTGGGTTTCTGTTAGCGACTAAAAGGCTCAGGGGTCACTCCAGGTAAACTGGGCTGACTGGGCTGTGCAAAATGACCACACAACAGACACAAACACGTTTTTTTTTTGGGGGGGGGGTCGCTGTGACGGCTCCTCTGACCTTAAGGGTCCGCAGGAAGAGAGAGCGAGAGCACGCGCTGACCCCTTTTATTGAGGAGAAGCTATTCAAATGAGGCAAGGGGTCAGGTCAGGGGGCTGAGTCTATCTTCGCGATGTCCACTGTCAGCAGGTTGACTGACACCTGGGTAGGACACACCCAAGGGCACAGTAAGAGGAGGGGACACACACGAGGCACTTCCATGGAAGATTCTACCCTAAACAGGGCAAGGGGTTATATCACAAAGGAACAGGTGAGCGTAGCTCCGCCCATGGGCTGTAGCAGGACATACCATGCCCGATCACCGACCCTCGAACCCAAGAAGGTGGGGAAAGCTCTACCACGTTTCTGTGACTGAGCGCCTCAGCACCCAGCCAGGGAGTGTGACTCAGTCACATGCAAAGTTGGTCTCCCACACAGTTGCCTCCTGGACTCCCAGCCCCTGAGCAGACAGTGGTGGTCAGGAGGAGGATGCCCACTTCCTGGGCCCCTGCTTGGCCTCCCCAAGGTCCCCACCTGGCCCCTCAGCACCCTGTATCGGGGGCTGCACCTGAGACCAGGTCTCTCCCTCTTCCCAGCCCAGCCATCCTTCTCCAGGACTGACCACTCAGCCAGGACCAACTCCACACAGGCCTCACTCCCAGATGGAGGCTCGAGCCCCAGAATGTCCCTTCCTGGTCACAGCACTGCCCAGCCCTGCCCACAGCACAAGCTGCACTCTGCCACCATGACCACGGGGACCCCAGGACAGAGACTCCCGGCACCTGGCAAGCACAGCCGTCTGCACCTGCAGGCCACCTGTGTGAGCCCTGTGCTGAGCCCTCTGGAGTCGGGGACTCAACGTTCTACATCACTCTTAGCATGTGTATGTGGGAGGGCAGCGTGGAGCCCCCGTGCAGGGACAGTGCCCAGGGGCCTCTCGGGGTTACGCAGGGAGTTCCCACTCCACCAGCACCTGCAGCCTAGGTACATCCCTGAAGACCCAGAAACAGACGCTGGAATGAAAACTTGTGTGTGAACATTCACAGCAGCACCATGCACAAGGGTCAGAAGGGAGAAGTGACCCAGTTGTCCACTGAGGAGGAATGGGGAACAGGATGAGTCCATCACATGATGGAATATTACTCAGCCCTGAAAAGGACTGCAGCTCTCACACGTGCTGCAAGTGGGACAGACCTTGAGACCTGGGGCTCGGTGAGAGAAGCCGACACAGAGGGTCACATAGTGTGGACTCCATGGGCAGGACCTATCCACAGCAGGCCATCCGGAGAGTGGAGGCAGAGAGGCCAACCTCAGAGACACCAGTGTCGGCCACATGTTCTGGGGAGTGCAGGTGACTTGTGGGGACCTTGGAGAACACACGAGGGCATTACAAGCCGAAGCTGGGTGACCCTGGACAGAGCGTGGGGCGGTCCCTGGGGGGACCACATCCCGGGGCAGCAGCTACAGAGATGACATTGAGGTGGCCACATTTATTGTCAGCTGTGAACAGCGGTCAGGTAGGGAGCACCCCGCCAGAGCCGAGCCTGGCCTGACCCCAGGGACGGACGCCTGGCTTGAGCTGCGCTGGACGGTGGGGTCCCTCAGCCAGCGAAGGGGCGGGACGCGAGGCCCCTCACCCCCAGGCCCGTGACCTGTGGGAGGAGAGGGTGGAGGTGAGTCCCTGGGCGCGGCTGAGTCTCCCGGCAGCCACAGCCACGGCAGCTTCCTAAACCTCCCGTAAAAGTCTCTGTGCACAGCAGGGCATGTGGGGCCTCGGGAGGGCTGTTTTCCAGGTGGACAGAGGTCCCCACGGATGCTGCCAAGCCCGCTCCAGTCCCCGAGGTCAAGATGCGTTACACCTGGCTGAGAAGACGTGGCTGGGAGCCAAGCTGACCCTGGCAGGGAGACCCCACTGACCTTGAAGACGTGTCCTGCCTGTGGCTCCCGCAACAGCTGCTCTGGACTCAGGCTGTCCGCTGCAGAGGTCACGTACAGGTCGGAGTAGTCAGCCCCCCCGAAGCAGCAGGAGGTCACTCTGGACACTGGCATCTCCAGGGTGCACAGCCGCGTCCCTGTGAGTAAAGCTCAGGTACGTCCCTGAAGCCCAGCCACTGGCCTGCTGCAGGACCCCAGGTGGCCTGACTGTGCCCACTCCCCAGTGGGGCCCTGGGCCTGCTGGTTCTCCCTGGCACCTGCAGCACTTGATCCCCAACTCTGCCCTGCCTCGTGGACTGCAGGGGTCAGCAGGGCCACCTGGAGCCCAGGAGCTGGAGAGGCAGGAGGAGCCTCCCTGGAGCCCGTGGAGGGAGCTGGACACCATGGTAAGAGGTGGGTCCTGTCCACATTTGCACCCCAGAACCTGTGAGTGGGACCTGCTGTGGGAACAGGGTCTCTGCAGAGGTCATTAGTGAAGGTTCCTGAGATGGGCTCCTCCTGGATCAGGGGGCCTCATGCAATGGCTGTGTCCTCCCAAGAGACAGAGGAGGGGACACAGACCCAGAGGAGGAATCCCGTGGAGACGGAGGCAGAGACTGCAGTGAGGGGCCACCAGCCCAGGGCCACCTGGAGCCCAGGAGCTGGAGATGCAGGAGGAGCCCCCTGGAGTCTGTGCAGGGAGCTCAGCCTGGGACCCTGGTCCAGCCTCCGCCCTCCAGGGTGGGAGAGGACAAGGTCCTGTGGTTTTCAACCGCTGGTTTGTGGTCATTTTCTACATCAGCCCCAGTGTTCCCTGCACTGGCCAAGTGCTGAGGGGCCACCCTGGCACTCCCGCCATCTGCACAGTCCCCCTGTAGCTGGACAAGCATGTGGTGCTGCCCTCCCACTCCCGGACCCTGAACACCGACGCACAGAGCACCGCATGGCCCCTCCTTGACCGACTGCCCTGTGCACACACCTGTCTCGGGGTCCATGCGGATCACCCTGCCTCCGTCAATGCAGGCCACCCAGAGTGTCCCCGTGGTGTCCACGCACAGCCCATCTGGCATGCCTTGCTCTGGCTCCAGCTGGCACACCAGCCGTGGGTTTGCTGCGGCAGGACAGACAGGCGCATGGCCCCCCACAGCCCAGACCAGGAGGTCACATAGCGTGGCCTCAACAACGGGAGGGAGTGACAGACCCGGTGGTGCATCTGGGACCCCAGGAGGGGACTTGCGAGGATGTCGGGGGAGGGCCACGGAGGCTCCCGCCCAGGGAGGGTGGGGGGCGCTGGCCACAGAGGCCTCTATCCTGGGAGGGTGTGGGGGTGGCCACTGGAGGCCCCGCCCAGGTAGGGCTTGGGCGGCGCTGGCCAGGGAGGCCCCGCCCAGGGAGGGTGTGGGGGTGGCCACGGAGGCCCCGCCCAGGGAGGGCGTGGGGGCTGGCCACGGAGGCCTCGCCCAGGTAGGGTGTGGGGGTGGCCACGTAGGCCCCGCCCAGGGAGGGCTTGGGGGCTAGCCACGGAGGCCCCGCCCAGGGAGGGTGTGGGGGTGGCCACGGAGGCCCCGCCCAGGGAGGGCGTGGGGGCTGGCCACTGATGTCCCGCCCAGGGAGGGCTTGGGCGGGGCTGGCCAGGGAGGCCCCGCCCAGGTAGGGCATAGGGGGCTGGCCACGGAGGCCCCCACCCAGAGAGGGTGTGGGGGCTGACCACGGAGGCTCCTACCCCAGGGAGGGTGTGGGGGCCTGGCCATGGAGACCTTCTCCTGGGGAGGGCGTGGGGGGCTAGCAATGGCGGCCCCTACCCAGGCCTCCTGTCTGCACGTCGTAGTCATAGGCCCGCACAGAGTAGTCCAGGCTGTCCACGTGGTAGAGAGTGCGGTGGTCCAGGGACCAGTCCAGCCCGTTGGGGATGCCCAGCTGGTCCAGCTGTCTGACCACCGAGCGGTCAGCGTAGAGTGTGTACAGGGAGCCCTGCCCCGGCTCCCACAGTCCTGGGGCGGACGCCTCTGGCATGGTGCCTGGAGAGAGCGGAAGGTCAGTGGGCAGCGCCCCACCCTGCCCTGTCCACCCACACAGACCCGCTGTGCAGAGAGCTGTGGTCACCCTCAGTCGGGGGACAGCAGGCAGAATGGCCCTCAGGCGGCGTCTGTGAGTGAGCCTCTGTGCTGGGCGTAGGGGGGACCCCAGAGATGTCCCACTGGGAAGAGGCCTGCTCAGGCAGAGGTGCAGGGCCCTCAGCTGCACGTGAATGGCCTCTGGCCACCGGCCCTGGCCGCTGCCCCACCCTGGCGGCTTCGACCCTCCCAGGGTCCTCTCTGGGCAGGGACCCAGGAAGAATGACCTGGAAGCCATGGGCTTTGGAGTGGGAGGGAACCTGTGGGCTGCCCAGCACCTGCATGGCCTCGGGGGGCCGCTTGCCCGCAGCCTGGGGAGGGCTCCTGAGGTCCCCACCCAGCCGGCACCCGCCATGACAGGAGGCTCTCCAGGAGGCCTGGGCCAGTCCTTTCAGCAGCTCACCTGCCACAAACCTCCCGGCGGGGTCCACCTTCCCGTCGTTGAACCTGTTGTGGGGCTTGTCCCTGTCCAGCCAGGCCGCCCACTCCACCTGCCCCGTCGCCCAGTCCAGGAGGCCAAGGCAGGTGCCAGAGGCCACCACGTAGCTGCCCTCTCTGCGCAGAGCCACACAGCCAACAGGGTCTCCTGGGAGGACAGAGGACAGCAGGGTGGCCTGGCTGCTGCGTCTCGAGGAGACGGTGCCACCCCACCCATGGGGCTCCCGCCAGGAGGCACCATCAGGGCACAGAGCACGTCTCAGCACAGGACCAGTCCTGCTGGGCCTGTTGGACCACCTCTCTGCACCCCCTCCCCACGACGGCCACCACAGGGCCTCTAGATGGGACTGGAGGCTGCCGAGCCTGCCTGCAGGGCCACCAGGACTGCAGGAGTGGAGAGCACTGGCCTCTCCTCACGTCAGTGCCAGTGTGAGAGCCGCGGGTGCCCCTGAGCCCTCGGGTAGGACCGCTGGGCCTGGGGCAGGCTCCACAGGAGGGTGCCTGAGGCCAGACACAGACTTGGGGCCAGCCCTGATCTGCAAGGGGGACAGGGGCACCTGCCCTTGGGGAGGGTGAGGGTGAGTGGGGGACGCTCCCAGAGTGCTGCTTCTGCTCCTCAGAAAACCCATGGGGATCGTCAGCCACACAGGTGTGCAAGCCCCACAGACACACAGGTACCTCCCAGGTGTGTGGGTCCAGAGGGGTCAGCAGTCCACACAGGTGTGCAAGCCCCACAGACACTCAGGTACCTCCCAGGTGTGCAAATCCACAGGGGTCAGCAGTCCACACAGGTGTGCAAGCCCCACAGACACACATGTACCTCCCAGGTGTGTGAATCCACAGGGGTCAGCAGTCCACACAGGTGTGCAAGCCCCACAGACACACAGGTACCTCCCAGGTGTGTGATCCCATCAGGGTTGTCAGCCACACAGGTGTGCAAAATCCACAGGCACACAGGTACCTCCCAGGTGTGTGGGCTCACAGGGGTCAGCCATGAGGTGCGTGAGCCCAAAGTTGTCATCAGCCACACAGGTGTGCAAGCCCTAGGTACCTCAGGCCCACCCTCTGCAGCCCCCAGGTCCACTTACTCAGGCCCACAGTCTGCACCTCCCCAGACAGTGGGTTCCACCGGCACACAGTCCTGGCGTTGATGTCCACATACACCAGCTGCCCAGTCTCCTCTTCCCACACGGGACACTCCCCCATCCTGTGCCTCTCCCTGATGACAGCCTCGATCCTGGGGGACGCCATGGCCTGGGAGGAGGACAGGGCTGTGAGTGCCCTGTTCCCTGTCCCATTCTCCAGGTCATCAGGTGAGGGCTGCTGGACCATGCAGGCTGGGCGCTTCCGGGTGTGTGACACATCCTGTGGTCTCAAGGACAGCCCTCTTGTGCTCATGAAGCCTCACCCAGGCAGGCATGGGGATGCAGAGAGGGAGCCAGCAGAACTCACGCCCCTCCTGGCTCCTCTGTGCCACCTGGCACTCTGCATGACCCGAGAGGTCGACAGAACGTGCAGGTGCCCTGTCACTTGAAGAGGCACCCCCTGGCAAGGTTCCAAGAGCCCCCCTTTCCTTCTGGTGGCACAGTGTGCCCACCTCCCCCACCTTCCAGGACCCCAGCTACAGCCTGGGAAGCAGTGGCTGCTAAGCTGAGCCACTGTCCAGGTGGGCCCGGCTCAGAGGCTGGGGTGGGGTGCCATCTGCAGGTGGCTGCCTCCGGAGCACACACCCTGCCCTGTCCGCCCAGGAGACCTCTGCCCCAGAAGGGCTCACTTCACAATGCTCCTGTTAATTGGGCTGCTGTGAGACCCCTGCGCTCCGTGGGACTCAGTTCACAGGGCCCTTCCTGGACGGCACCAGGAGGCCCAGCAGCCCAGGGCTCCCATACTGGGGCGGCTCACGTGCTCCTCAGCCCTGGTCCTGTCCTGCTCGCTCAGCTCTTGGGACTCCACCGCACTCTGGCCTCAGCCAGCTGAAGGCTCCACTGAGTGGGGGCGGCAACTCCCTTCCGCCCTCCCCTCCCAGGTCCCTCCCTCTGTGCTTCGCCAAATCAACAGAGCCCGAGGCAGTGGCATGTCCACTGCTTTGTCCTGCAGAGCCAAGGTAGCAGTTGCAGGAGTCACCAGTGCATTCTGCATTAGAGTGGGAGAAGCAGCAGCCCCTGGGACCTCGCTTCAGTAGAGACCCCCTGAGGTCGCAGCCAGCGCCCCACCAGGCATCCCTGAGACTTCCCCTTAGGGCCCACCACGCGCCTCCTCAGCCCTCCTGGGTTCTCCCCTGGCACAGGCGCTGCCCTGGGCAGTGGGACACTCTGCTCCTCTCCTACTGCAGAAGAGCGCCGGCTTGCAACTGGGGGTCCACAGGGCTCACCCAGGCAGGCTCACAGGGAGCACAGGCTTCACTGGGCAGGCACAGAGGGAGGCGCAGGGGAGGCACGGGGAGCCCTGGGCAAGCACACGGGGCGCTGGGCAGGCACAGAGGGGGCGCGGGGAGCCTGGGCAGGCACATGGGGCACTGGGCAGGCGCACAGGGGGCACTGGGGAGGCACCAGGAGCCCTGGGCAGGGACACGGGGCGCTGGGCAGGCGCAGAGGGACGCAGGGGAGACACCGGGAGCCCTGGACATGCACGCGGGGTGCAGGTCAGGGCTCTACTCACAGGCGTCCTGTAAAGAACTGACTGTGACCTCCGAGCTTCACCTGCTGTCCCGACCCAGCCTCGCACACATGGCAGTGTCACCCAAACGTTCACAGGCACCAGCGCCCCCTCCCCGCATCTTACTCCATCCTCTGAGATGGCCTGGGCGCCACTCCCCCAGCCTCCCCTAGGCTCCTCCAGCGGCCTCTGCCCACGTGCCACTCCAACGACTGCAGGGGGGCCAGGGACCCTGCGTCTCCCCTGTCACCACCACTTTCTGCCAGCAGGATTGCCGGGGCACTCCGCAAGGAGAGGATTTTCGCGGGAGGTGCTGCTCTCTTGCAGGCCCACGCCAAGGGTTCCTCCCACTGTGGGGCAGGGCTTGGCCCAGGAACGTCGTCCCCCCCCCCCCCCCCCGTCCCCGAAAGGAGAGGTGCTGACTTGGCGGAGGTGGAGTCCCCGCACCCACGTCTCCATGCCGCTAAGTGAGCCCAGCTCCTCCACACCCCAGGCTGCAGCCCTGGAACCCGAGGACCCCAGGCTCCACGGTCCCCTCCCCATGGGATAGAACCGGCCTTGTGGGTGAAGGACTCCCTTAGGAACCTCCTCCTCCTGGGTTCCAGCCAGCGCTCCGCAGCGTCCTCACCCCAACCCTGGTCCCAGAGCTCCTTAGGGCCCTGGACTGCAGGCTCCTGTCTGGGAGACCACCAAGGTGGGTGCTGGGGGCTGGTTCCTGCTCCCACAGCCCAGGAGAGGCCACCGCCTGGGTGGAGGGGGTCTAAAGGAAAATGGATGGAGGGCTGTACCTGGAGCTCGTCCACTCCATGAAAGGTGCTGGGGCTCTTGGGAGCACTGGCTGCAGCCAGGGGGCGCCCCCTCACCCCAAAGGCTCCTGCTCAAGGTGAGGTCAGTGTGTAGCCCTGGCTCTCACCCAGGTTGGGAGGGGCCCTCTGGTCCTTCTGATTGGCCCTCAGGGTTTGAAGACAGGCCAGGCCCCCTGCTGGGCAGCCTGCAGTGGCCCCTGGAGCCAACCCCAGCATGGGTGTGTCCACTCACTCTGTGGCCACATGTGGGCAGGACACACACCTACTCTGCGGGGCTCTTGTGGGAGCAGACACCTCCCAGGACCACCAGTGACGTGCAACTCTTCAAAGCTAAGGGGACATATTTAGGGAGCCATGTGGGACCCTGAGGTCAAGATGGCTGAGGTGGCCCCTGATCCATCCCGATGGCTCTCCTCTCTACTCTCAAGCCGAGGACAGGCAGTGGCCGGACAGCGTCAGACCTCAGGACATCTTGGGCATCAGGACACAATGCTGCCTTGGCTTGGTGGGAGGGTACAGTGGGCTGGAGACAGAAACCAAAGGTGGCAGGCAGTCCCTTGGCTGGGCAGGCAGGGTGGTGGCCTCCATGCAACAGGACCTAGCTCTCCCTGAGACACACTGTGAGGGCACAGAGCCCCAGATGCCCTTTGCTCCCACATTCCAGGGGCCCTGGCACCAAACCAGTTGTCATGCCCCTGTGACCCCACAACAGGACACCAGGCACCCACCCTTCCCCGCTACCTGGTGGTCCGGCTGTCCTACCTCCAGAGTGCTCGTCCTCCACCTGCCAAACGCTGGCCCATTCCCAGGCCCTGCCTGGAGTCCCGGGGCAGCTTCCTTCTGCACCTGGGGAGGATGATCTCATCTGTCTCATGACTTACACCCTCCGACCTGCCCATGACTCCCCCGTTTCTAGATGAGCACACACGGGCTCCCAGACGGGACTCCGTGCCCAGCACTCTGCTTGGAAGTCTATCAGGCATCCCACATTGGCTGGCCCACATGCCCCTGCTCCCCTGCCTTCCTCCTCCTGACAATCACCTGCCTTCCTCCTCCCTACCTGGTATGCCTCCTCATGTCCTACCCCAGTGGGCTGAATAGCACCCCAAGTGCACCTGGGACCTCGGGATAGGGCTTCTTTTGCATATAGGTCTCTGTAGATGTAATTAGGTAATGATCTCAAGATGACACCATCCTGGGTCAGGTGGCCCTCATGCAATGGCAGTGTCCTCACTAGAGACAGAGGAGGGGACACAGGCACAGAGGAGGAGCCACGTGGAGACGGAGGCAGAGACTGCAGTGAGGGGCCACCAGCCCAGGGCCACCTGGAGCCTGGGCAGGGCTCTCAGCCTGGGGCCCCTGGTCTTGGCCTCTGCCCTCCAGGGCTGGCAGAGGACAGGTTCCTGTGGTTTTCAGCTGCTGGTGTGTGGTCATTTCCTACATCAGCCCCAGGGTTCCCCTGCACTGGCCAAGTGCTGAAGGGCCACCTTGGCACTCCCGCCATCTGTAAAGTCCCCTCTGTAGCTGGACAAGTCATGCCTGGAGCCTACCCTGGAGCCTGGGGAGGGAGCTAAGCCCTGTGACCCCTGGTCTCAGCCTTCTGCCCTCCAAGGCTGGGGGAGAAGATCCCACCGGACTGGGGAAATGGTTTCAGCCCCTGTGACACTTTGTTTCCAAGTGCAGGACACTAACAGGGCCATGAAATTGCATCCAAAGTTGGCCCCTCATCTCTGCCTTCCAGATGTCATGTCCACCAGGCTCCTCCCTCCCTCCCCCCTGCTCAGCTCTGCAGCTCCCTGGGCCCTGGGGCTCCTTCCTGCCTCCCCCTGGTCAGTTTTGCAGCTCCCTGGGCCCCAGGTCTCCTTCCTGCTCAGCTCTGCAGCTCCCTGGGGCTCCCCCCTGCTCAGCTCTGCAGCTCCCTGGGGCTCCTTCCTGCCTCCCCTCTTCTCAGCTCTGCAGCTCCCTGGGCCCTGGGGCTCCCCCCACCCTCAGCTCTGCAGCTCCCTGGGGCTCCTTCCTGTTCAGCTCTGCAGCTCCCTGGCCCTGGGGCTCCTCACCCCCTCTCCTCTGCTCAGCTCTTCGGATCCCTGGGTTTGGGAGCCTCTTCAACCAGGTCTCCCTGGCACCACCCTCTCCCCATCTGCTCCCCCAGAGCAGGAGCCTTGTGCCTAGTCAGTGTGAGCCTGTGTCCCCTGCAGTGACTCCTTTGATGTCCTGCAGCCACCCTGCTGGCATGGGGTGGGCTCCTCCACCAGAGCAGGGCTCAGTCACATGGACAGTGTCCAGTTCTCACCCTCCTGGTGACACTCCTTCCTCCCTGTGGGACAGCTGGAGATAGTTTGCTGGACTCGGCCTGCTGGCCCCACGTCCCACTTGGCTGTCCAGAGAAGCCGTGGTGGCCCTGAGGCACCTTGGGAGCTGCAGTGACCTGCGTGCTTGTGGTGAGCCCACCAGGTGGGACTCCCTGTGGGAGACCTGCTGGAGTGACTCGCTGGACCCCGACACAGGCCTAGGCCCCGGGGTCATGCCCCCTGCCCCCTGGTGGGTCAGCTGGCTCCCTCTGTCCCTGAGCATGAGACCCTGCCCTCCTCTCTTTGGGTCTGTGAGTGGTGGCTCTGCTCCATCATGTCTCCTGTCTAGGAGTGGCCTCCTCTGGGGCTCAGCTGAGCACCCCCTGTCCCAACTCCTTCCTGACTGGGGTTGTCGCCCAGGGGCTGTGAGACAGGAAAGCACCCTGGGTCTGCCAGAGCCTCGGGTCACCTCGCCTTAGGCTGCTTCCTGGGAGAGGCACAGGGCAAGGTGGG